CGCCATAGTCAACTCCACAGTATACTACCAGATGGTTTGCTTCTCACTACCTGATACACTTTGGGTGACCTGTAAATTTGAGAGGATTCAAAGGTTTTCAGTTGCCTGCTAGTTATTGGAAGTGATGGCTGATGTGGTGTTGGCCTGCTGATAGTTCCGGTGCCCATTTTCTCGTATGGAAATAAATTGTCCTTGATAAAGTAATCCGCTATTATGTGGAGCAACTAGGAGCATTGAATTCTCTTGAATACCTTCGTAATTATTGACGCTGGTATCCTTGAAAACTTCTTGTGGACATTTATTGTGGGGTACGGTTGTGAAAAGGTAAGATGGCACTAAATATGTTACGCCATACTGCAGGCTTCTTGATTTTCACCAGCATGATCTGACTGGATGTCTGCATTATTTGCCATTTCGTGGTGGGTACTGGAAGGGTTAATATTGTTCTCGTCCATTGACATAACGTGATTCATGTTATCAGGCTTCTTGAACTCATTTTCAGCTTCAATATGTCCAGCACTGAAGTATTTAAGAAATTCGAATACTTATGGACGTAGACTGTAGCTGAATATCATACACCATTTGCTTGAATTTCTCAATAATCCTCATTAATGAGGCTTCCATTCTTTCATTATAGCATTGCAAAAAAGCTTGAAATTCTTCATTAGAAATAGTTGCTACTTTTTCCATCTCCACTTTTATATTCTTCAGTTATCACGTTTACATACCTTAGTTCTTACGATATGGCCTGAGTTATGCATGTACGTGGCCTACTATATATGAGTACGCATGTAAAAATACCTTTAGATTCCACTCTCTTCTAGTCACTCATTTTCTCCGTAAAAAGAAAAGGAGGGAATAGAACAGAAGGCGTATTTACAACGGTAACAGCAACGTCAACAATATATATATATATATATATGTATATATATAAATTTGAAGGTTTATATATATTACAGTGGCCTATTATTGATTTTACCCCTCTTCAATCAACCTGATACTTACGTGTTCGTTTACGTGATTTTTCCCTAAACTGCTAAGTGATTGGTTGAAAAAGACTCTAAGTATATGTAGCTTCTTATGAAGACTTTAACAACCTTTCTGCACATTATAACATTCAATAACGCATTAATGACTTAAGGCCTTGTGATTACATTTAAAGGATTCTGTAATTGCAGGCGGATAACGTCTCATAATTTATACGACCCTGACTATAGACAGTCATATTTAAAACTGAAATTGACTTACACTCAAACACCTTCAGACTTATTTTCTGCTAACCTATATCAATAAAGTGTTTTTATTGGAAATTAAAGACAATGTAAACAGCAGGTGCATTCAATATAAATAATAAAGGATTATATAACTGATATTATGATTTAATTTACTTTGCAGAAAATTGTCTCAGAAAGAGACTAAGCCATTTCAGTTTATTCTTGCAGCTATACTGTGAGATGGTCAATAATACATTGGAATGTATGTAACTTTAACAAAGCAAATCGATATTGGTGATTTCTATTTTCCTGATAGTAATGTTAAGTGAAAAACACGACCGATTTCTGGTTTGATCACTTTTCTGTCAGTATACTTTATTGATAAAAGTCAACATGCTTTTCCATACAGTAGTTCAACAGCAGAAACTTTTTTTATTGCCATATAGTTAAAATCTATTAGTGAATTCACGTTTATAGAAATTCGGTATATTTCGGCTGATTTTGAACTGTGTACGTATTGTGGATCTGATGACTTCATTAATACGACTAAACATTAAACAACCTTGTAGTAGCACTAAGAGTTATAAAATTGTAATTGAGCAACAATTCGTGTTAGTCGGTAGTATGCTTCATGCAGATTTCATGTGCAAAATCTTGACCGAAATAATTTTCTTAAGTCTTTTATCTCAACTACAAAACATTGCCTTTTTTTTACCTTCATTTATGAGAGCAGCTTGCACTGAAATTCACAATGTTACTAAACATTTTATCAGAATTCATCATGGAAAGATTAAACTACTTCATGATCATTTTAGGTTCCAATTAGTTAGACGCCTAAATCTTAAGGATATCAAACATTTTCCAAAGAATACACTACATTATATTTCTGCCTTCAAACTTGTTGAAGTCATTGAAATATATCATCAAGCTATACAGAATACTCTCTGACACATTTATAAAATATATTAAACCTACCGTTTAGCAAGTCAAAGATCAGAAGAAGCCGAAATTTTATGGTATATGACAATGAATTGTTAGATGAACAAAGATATATTTGATTACTATTCACTAAATAGTTAGCAGATTTTTGTATTCGGCGAAATGAACCATCATTAACAAAATTAAACTCAGCTTTCTGTTCATTCCCCACTCATTAACAAACAATAAGTTAACAACAGCTGACTATTTCTTATTATAATCTGTAATAATGTTATTGTTAATGTTGTTGATATACTTTAAATATTTCATTTAAAAGCGTTGTACAGGAAGTACATTTGTAGAAATGATAAATGCTATGACTACTATACTGTATCAGATATATTGTCTGGAATAAAGCAATTTTTATTTTTTATTGTACATGTAATGATTTTTATACCTCGATTTAAAATCCCTACTATACTCTTGAGTTCATACAGGAGGGATGTCTGTTTGAATGCACTAAAACAAATTTAAATTGTTTGTTTGATCGAGTATTTAGTGAAAATATGTCATCAAAGTTGGTATTTGAAGAAAATCAGACGTGTATTTCATCACATTATTTTATATGATATACTATTCTTCATTTTCTACTCATACTTCTCTCATCATAGAACAGAGTATAGAATTGCAGTCAACTCTCCACCTCAACTTCATCGGCTCTGAAAACGCCTTCGGCAGCGTCGAACGAAAAATAATTTGGTAACTACTCCAGCACTGTGGAATACCTCGAACCTTTATCAACCTCATTCAACAAGTATATGACGACACCACATGCCAAGTAATTCACAATAGGAAGCTCTTTGATGTTTTTGCAGTGAAGTGAAGACAAGAGAAAGACAAGACTATCTACTGTCATCCATGATAGTCCTGATTATGGTGGACTGGATCATGAAACAAATAGTGAGGAGCGAGAAGAGGGGGATATGCTGGACCGGGGAAAAGATAATAGAAGATTTGGATTTTACCGATGACATATGTCTAATACCACACAAAATTGAAGATCTACAGGCAAAATCCAACAAGTTAATAGACAATGCAGTGAAGATGGGACTTCAAGTGAACGTAGAGAAGACAGAGGTTGTGATGATACCCAACCACCGCCAGTACCAACAGCAAGAAGTGCCAACCACCATTAACAGGAGAGACTTAAAGGGAGTAGCCTCCTTCACCTATACCTGTCTAGGCAGCACCTTTCCAACTACAGGTGGCACAGACGAGGACGTCAAAACCAGGATAAGAAAAGCAAGACTGGCTTTCACTAACCTGAAACCAGTGTGATCTTCTGCATTCAGCATGTGGAACAAGATGCGGATTTTCAGCACTCATCCAACCAAGTCAATGTTTCTATACGTCTTGGAGACTTGGTGCTTTACGAAAGGCATTTACAACAAATTACAGACATTCACCAACTGCCTATACTGGCTCGTTACTGTAGCTCAGATGGCCAGAAACAATAAGCGACAAAGAACTCTGACAACGAACCAACCAAGAACCTACCGCTCAACAAATATGCAGAAGGAAGTGGAGATGGATTGAACATGCACTGAGAAGACCATTCGGGTACATCACGTGCAAGGCACTCGAGTGGAACCCAGATGGGAAACGACTAGTTGGGCATCAGAGGCGATGGTGACATGGAAGAGATCATGTGAGGAAGAAATGAGAGTTTTGAGCAGTCGTGGAGCCAGGTTGAAAAGACAGCAGAGAAGAGAATGAAATTGCGACGTGCTACTGAAGCTCCATGTTCCACTAGGAACCGTAGTGACAAATAATATAACCATAATAATACTCATACTGCTCTTCAAATTACACTGTGAACTCATAAAAGCTAGTGTTTTCAGGTTTCTGAAACTGCACTCAGAACTTTCCGAAGGGACGTAATTCCGTTACATAATGTCCATTTATATGATCGTCTATTAAACATAGTTTAGTTACAGGAGTTATTATTACTATTTAGCTCTTAAAGTACAAACAAATGAGGAAATTTTCATCTCCTATCTACTGACTCTTGTTCATAAGTACAATTCGTCTCCTATATCTAAGCCTAAATACTACTATCGCCTGTACCCTTTCTTCTTAGCATTGCATCATGTAATTTTACTTCGATGGTCATACAAATGTAATCATAATGGCAAAAATGTTTAGCTTAAGATGAGACCTGTAGGTCCTGAGTTCCATCCCTGGTGGGTTCGTACCTCAGTACTGTTGACAAATTCCATGCTAGGACGAAAAAACTGTCCATTGTCCCCCAGCTTCCATTAGTTCTCCGAATGATATCAGTTCGTGATGAATGCTGTCTTCAGAATGCTAATAATCTGGTGTTCTCTTGGCTTTCAGGTTAGACATTGGGCGTTTCATCCTCAAAATCAACGACTTGTTCGGCTACTATTGTATGTGAAAATGTTTCACGAGAATTAATGTTTCTGTTACTGGTATCTTTATAGATTTTCAGCCTTTAAATTTTTGACTTTTTGTTTTTCGTTTCAGGTGTTAAGGATTTCCAGCCATTCATCAACCTATTACAACACGTCACTTACACATTCCTGTCAAGTTGGAAGAAATCAAACTATTTATGAATTTCATGGAGCGCCATCTAACAATATGCTCAAATGTACAACAATCTCAGGATTTAAAACCGTCTAACAATTTCAGTTGCGCATCAGATGCAAAGTCAAACTATTATTTGAACAATTCTGATCATATTGCTATCACTAATGGTAGTGCTACAGGTAAAAATACAACAATGTCTGTTTTACAAACTATACTACAAGCCGGTACGAATGATTCGTTACCAACATCAGTAACCAGATGCAATGCATGTCTAGCTGTTTAACAGATTTAATAAGACAAGCATATGATCTAATACTTCCTGGATCACCTCATTACTCAGTTATTCTAATGAAGGTAAGATGTAGTGAGATTATACATTTTGCTTAACAATTCATGCTCAAGCTATATTGTATTTAACACAGATGTATATAAAGTAACAGTCACTGTTAAACTTCAAGGTGACGAAAGACGAGGTATGTATATTGAGTTATGGTAAGTACGCAGACTGATGGTTTCTAGTTTACTTTACTGGATATGGAAACCAACGTACTGACCGAGGTGTCCCGGTGCCTCGGGGACTTAGTCTTCCAACTATAAATTGTCTGTCTGGAACTAAGCTTATTTACCTTGAATATACTAAAACATTTTATGGTTAAAACATTCTCTTGCGACGCATAAATAGCTTCGCAGTTGCCTCTAATTTCAACATCAGCTGACTAAGGAATATAAGTTTTCACGTGAAGTCAGTGTTTTGCAATAAGTGCCTTATATCAATAGATTTTTCGTTCAGAATCACAATAAAGAATATGAAATTTTATTTCTGTCAAAAAAAAAAATTGGCTCCTTCACTGTGAAACATGAATCCAGTATGGTTTCAGTGATCATAAGCACGGTAGATGATAATTTTAAAGTTTCAGTCTCAAATATTAGGGTGTGCGACAATGACCAGATAAATTTATTTAAACATGCAAAAGGCAACTGAATGCTTAAGGAAAATGGGTGTAGTAAACTGACCATAAAAATGATAACAATATAGCTAATTTCAAAGTATTTTTCTTCATTCTGATTACCATGAAATAAAGTTTCATTCCCAAATAGTGAGAAGGTACAATTTGTTTTACAAACACTGTGAAATATCAGCTTAAGTTCGATCGAACCTTGAAAAAGCATGATTATTATATTATCATTTATCCCTTGGGTTCCTAGTGGAACATAAAGCTTCAGTAGCACGTCGCAGTTCCACTCTCTTCCCTGCTGTCTTTTCAACCTGGCTCCATGACTGCCCAAAACTCTCATTTCTTCCTCACATGATCTCTTCCATGTCACCATCTCCTCTGACTCCCAACTTTCCGTCTCCCATCTGGGTTCCACTCGAGTGCCTTGCACGTGATGTCTCCGAATGGTCAATACTTCCCTAGGCTATGTCAATTCATAATGAACACCACTTTCAAACTGATAAATTCCTACAATGTGTCAGTTGCATTACTCCTAGTGCTCAATAATGAGATCCTTTCAAATTGATTTCCTGAAATGCTTATGAGACAATGTGACCTGAGCAGCTGACCAAGTCCACTGTGACGACAAGAACTGACATATGGCACTGGATTTCAAATTGATAGAAATAAGAACTTGTGGCCGAATTAGCACACCTTCAGCAGGACACCTGTGGACCTGCGCTTAGTACCTTGTGGAGGAATGAGAGCCTATCGGTGAGGAGTCTCTAAACAGGTCTATTAGGAAGATGAAAGTTAGATGTGACCCTGGGCTTGTTTATACTCATCTCTCCAGTAGTAAACAACTGTTAGTGTTACTAGGTGGGATAAAAATACTAAAATCTTCATAAGAGGGCTGTAAACCCTGAATCCTTTTTCAGCCAATTTTTCTCTCCCAAAGTTCAGCGAAAAAGCGTGTGGAGCGACGTGTAAACATCAGATTGGTCGAAGAGGCGAAAATCAATAGGATATCCAAATCTGAAAAGGCCTGGAAATAGCCACAGCCACTGTAAATATATATAAGCCCTTATGCTTTGTATATATTTTTGATGTTGTAAAGTGCCTTGATTATCTCACCTCCTTTTCTATTTACCGAGAAAATTCAGCGACCATCAAGGGGTTCAGTCTGAAGATGGCTATGAAGGTTATAAAATTTAGGAGGAAATAAATCATGAAGTGTTAGTTACCTGTTCACGTAACCTTAATCATGATAAAACAAACGTTTCGTTTTGCTACTACGCAGTTGAAAGATCAACATATTGACATACTGTGTGACCTAACTACGGTAAAGTATAAACACATACATACACATTATGAAACTATGACCAGTGATGGCGATAACCTAATGAATATATAACAACTAATTAGATGTGTTTAACTGAAAATAAAAATTTGATTCATGAATGACCTTATGATAAGTTGGTTAATTGTACAGTTTGACTATAGGATTTGATTTTGGGCAAACTGCACGCTTTTCATACATTTAGATCCCTTGATAAATGTGAACAAACCAAGGAAAAATAGATTTGTAGGATTAAAATTAGTTAGTACCAGCTTATACACTAAGTAACGCACAAAGAAATAACATCCATCAAACTGTAGTTTTTTCAGTTGTTATTCCCTATGGGCTGACATCAGTTGGAGGAACATTGGAAACCTGAGAGCACTGGACAGCTGTTTCATCCTAGTATAGGACTCTTCAGCGGCGCGCACCCACTTGACTTAGAATCAGTGAGTTAGTAACTAATTGTACGATTACCATGAAACAAGCTCTATTTACTGTCACCGTGATGTGAGAGATCGAATACATTCTTGCATGACTGGGTTTGAGTGAAAGGGTTACATTACAATCACTTGCGCTAAATATGTTAGTCTAGGCATTTTCCGTACATTTATTACCTTGAAATATCAGAAGAGCCAAATTTATGGTCTATGTCAGTGAGATGTCTGTTCATTATATTCCTTAGAACCTTGCTTCTGCTTGAGTTCAAATTCTTTGGAATGCCGGTTGGCTAGGATTAAATGATGCTGATATGCAAACTGAGATGAATAATCATTGTAATTTTAATCGTATGCAGCGGGGGAATATTTGTGAAGTAAAATTCTATTTCTTTTCTCCGAAAATACTGTCCTCGTAAATGTGACTGATTCAGTTGATTATTATTCTTAAACAAATGGTTTGCACAGGTGCCTAATGTCACTGATCACCTTCCTGATTGTGATCGACTGGACTGGATCATGCAATAAAGTGGATTTCGCGGATGACTTACGTCTAATATCACATAAACTCGACGATCTACAAGCGAAAACCAACAAGTTGGCAGAAGAGGCAGGTAGGGCAGCAAGCACAGAACTTCCTTCAGGTGAACGTAGAAAAGACAAAGGTGATGGAGATATTCAATCAACAACAACAAGCATCAATCACCAACAACGGCAGAAATCTAGAGGAAGTTGTCTCTTTCACCTACCACATAGACAAGGCAACATCGTTTCAACTACAGGCAGCGGCACAAATGAGGACGTCAAAGCGAGGATCGGAAAGACAGCAAGACAGCCCTTCCTGAATTAATCGAAAACAATCAGTGTGGAGATCGGCTGCACTGCACTCCACTGCCTCCACTCCACTCAGCATAAAGCGTGAACAACATCCGGATTTTCATCACTAATATCAGTCAAGTCAGTGCTTCTATGTGGCGGTTCAGAGACTTGGAGCGTCACGAAAAGCATTTCCAACAAACTGAAGACATGCATCACATCGACAGCTGCCGCCTACGCCAACTCGATAGTGACACTGAAGATCAGATGGCTAGAATAAGCAACGAGGAACCCACTCCGGCTGGCAACGAACCAAGGAGAAAAGAACCCATTGCCCAACAAATATGCAGAATGCAGTGGAGATGGATTGGATTGGACATATACTGAGAAAATGATTCGGTGACATCATGCATCAGGCCAGGCGGTCGAATGCAGCTGAAATGGGAAATGACGAGTTGGGCGTCCGAGACAAGGGTGACATAGTGGAGGTAGTATGAGGAAGAAATGAAAGCTGTAGCGTAGTCGTGGAACCCGGTTAAAAAGACAGCAGAGAAGAGAGAGAGTGAAATTGTGACGTGCTATTGAAGCTTTATGTTTCACTAGGAACCCAAGGAACAAATAATGATAATAATAATAATATTGCTTTGCACGGTGGCCAGTAATCATTTGAAAGTGAAGTTTCGTCACAGCCATAAACAGCCAGTAATAAAAACTTGTATGTGGTGTTCCACTCTCTCTACAATTGCTGGTAGGGAGATAGTCAGACGATCATTACCGAAATTTTCAGCCATCTGAAATGCAATTTTTCTGAAAAAACAAACTGTGAGATATATTATATATATATATATATATATATATATATATATATATATAATTGTTATTAAAATGATATGGAACATAAAGACAAATTTTATTCTACTAAATCATACACTTTTGTAGATCAGCATGGGTCAAGCAATTTGGCCCTGTATAGCAACAGGAAATTACAAGCGTCAAACAACAGCTGATGCTCGTGACACAAGAAACGTCCCTCATGCTTCATAGCCCTGGTACATAATTCTTTAGTCTTTGAAGCAATACATACTGGATTCGAGTCTCAGTTAAAACAAAGTCATTCACCAGGGTATGGGTACATCCAGCCAAGACGTCCTGGAAAGGATGAAACACGCGTTCTAGATTCCATTGACGGTAGCCGAAGTGAATACAAGCAGATCAACATAATTTTGCTACCATACTTTTTTTAAGTGGTACTATAATTTGCAATCCTATATTGAACTAAGTCGCTTTGAAGAAACATTTAGTTGGCAGTATATTTGACGATGATTTTTAGATTGTTCATGCAGACCGTTGAGATGTGGCTTCAACTTTGAGGAAACACTGGTTGCACCATGACTTTCAAAATGCTTCAGTTTCCTGAAGATGATCGCAATTCAACTGGTTTCCTACGGTCATAGTTGGTTTCAAGTAATAGGCATCATTTATTTTCGTTTTCTACTTACACTGGGCTTTTTAACTGAGGACTGTTTAAATATAATGGATATGTTTGTCTGATATGTGACTTTTAAGCCTCTAAGCATCATAGTGGACTCGTACTGTGAACTGGATGACTACAGTTTGTGATGATATTTTCCTACATCTTGAGAAATTGACCACCTGCAACACTTAGGGTTTCATATCTGGTTCAAAATTGATTTCATCGCTTCAACCTTGAAGGTGCATAATTATAAAAAACAGCTGACCAATCACAACATTCTAAAAAACTTAGTTGATTGTTATTAACTTCCTTCCAATATGGTGAACAGTGGGATGCCGTACAAAAAAACCGGA